CAGGAGAATTCTGAGATGCTTAAAAATAGAAAATATTTGGATAAATGGTATGGTAATATTATGTGTGAAACAACTTATACCTTATGCCTATATGGTTATTATTAAGCAACAACATATGTACCATGGTATATAAACATTCACTTCCACTGTATTTACAGCTTATACTATCACTGTACTATTTTACCACCAAAGTACATGCAACGGTTTACAAATAAAATAATGAATCGGTTCAGCTCATTTTAAGCAGTGATAAACTATTCACACACAAACACAATGCCATATTTGGGTGCAATTTGTGTTTACAGTAAATAGGTTAATCATCGGTGTGAAATAAAGCAACAAATTTGTCAGGTAAAACCCTGAATCAAACATTATACCAGAAAAGTTGGTCAATGACAAATAAGAATGTCCAGAAATTAAGAAGAATTAAATGAAACCTAGTTTGTTGAAAACATTTTTTATACCAGTCTCGAAAAATGTCATGTGGAGTATCAATTTAAAAAACATTTTCCCTACACCTTAAATACATATAAACATCTTAATCATTATTTACATATTATTCAAAATAAAAACATACTATTTTACAAACATCTTCGCACCTCATGATGTTTACAACCTGAAATAACCCTATAGAACTGGAGGGGGAAAGCACAATGTCACTGAACAAAGCACTGGCTCCAAAATCCAAAAACTTTTGTTCCATGTCAAATCCAAACATAAAAGAACAAAAGCTGCCTGAACATCTAATTGATTTGATAGTGTCACACTGTCAATGTTGTGTACAGTGAAATCTAACAACTTACTGAACCTTTTCAATTAGCTTTCTTTCTCTTTCTAAAGGAAATCCAGTTACACATTAAGCACACCCAGTTACCATACAGGTAGATCAGAACAAAACAAGCAGAAACCTTCAAAAAGGTATGTTAGTTTCATTTCATGAATCAGTTAATGAATAAATAAGAAAGTTAGGTGATCCAGTTATCTACCATTCTTGTCTTCGGGTGCAGTATAGACATGATACTCCACAGTCCTTCAGCCTTGTGAAAGTCCGTTCAGCGCAACAGTCATGATACAGGAGAAGAACAGGGGCACGCACAAACA